TCTTTCAGACGATTGGCCACTGCCGTTACAGCTTCCCTCCTAGTCACCAGAATATTGTCTGTTTCCTCGATGTGTCGTTTTAACATTGTTTCAGCATTGTCTGGGAAACAGATTAAATTAAAGTAAAAATCCTGTTGTGGCTTTAGACAAATTAAATGCACAAAAGATATTGAAAAGATGGATGCATTACGCAAGCATTTAAAAAAAGGTTTTATTCTGCGTGTTACAAGATATAGAAATCAATCATTTCAGAATATTTTTGAAGCTCTTTCTGTCTGGGTGACAAAGGATGTAAAATTAATTGATGTAACACAGCAAAATATATAAGCTTGTAACTTTGTCGCGAAAGGTGTTTAGGCAAGATGTCAACTTCACAAGACGAACAATCAGATCTTAATAACTATGCCCAAATAGAACCAGATCACGATATGCTTTCACGAATGCACAAAGGTGTAAATGTCATGTCGGACACTGATTATAAACGTGTTTTTCATGTAATGTTTCAAGAGTATTGGATGCAATTCTTAGACAGATCTTTTGGGGAGATGGATAACCTTGCCCTTACTTGGTGTATTTCTTTTTCTACTGTGTTGGTTGTTAACTACAATAGTTTCAAAACTAGAAGGTTTGGCTGAAAGCGTGTCTTCCATTAACCATCTCCTGGATGATGAAGAGCTTACCGCACACGATGTTGTGTGTAGTTCCACAAATATATCCTCCACACGAGCGCTCAGTAACATCCAGAACTGCTTAAAATTTCAAACTTCTGGCATAAGAAAGCAAGTCTATGCCAACATGGTTTGACAACGGTCTTCATCTTTTTAAACAAATAATATTAGCAACGCTGTGACACAGCTATGGGGAACAAGGTATATCAAGTGTTAGCCAATTGGTGCAAGGGAAGTACGTCTTATGTAGAAACCATAGACATTGACCGTACAGACTAAAAGTCTAGGTATTGTATAAAGCTATATTGATGATACACTAGAGATCAAAAAAGAGGATTGCAGCAGGATTTAACAATAACTATCTCCATCATTGAATTAAAACAGTCGAATTCACACTCCGATAAAGAAATGTAGGGCTACATTTTTTTGTATGATCAAAATTGTGCCGGAAACGAACCAATTTAAGAAATGGCATAGTAAGGCAAGGTATCCCAATAAGACTTTCTTAAACATCCCTACACACTTGAAAGATAAATCGCAGACGATAGATGTGTCCCATTATATAAGGCAGAGAGAGGCAAACGACTTTAGGGTTTGATTTGAAGACCGTCGGAAAAATGTTAGAAGTCAACGTTAACCTTAACGGAAAAATGAACGGTCAAAGGTTAACCTGTCAGAGTTCAAGATCTTACAAGACCGCAGATAAAAATATATTTGAACACAGATTCTGGAGTGCACAGGATGCTTACCCGAGAGATTACTATGTGCATATTGTTATATGTCTATTATCAATTGCAAAGTAATGGATTATTTAACATATGCGGAAATTAATGAAGTCATGTGATACTGGTTCTACCTCGGCATTATTCTCGACTGATATTTCATCTGGTGAAGTTGGCAGAATGGGAGTTGTACAGACAAATTGGCTTATGCATGTCATCTGTTCAAACTAACATCGGGATGTTACCTTCAAGAGTTATTCTTTTGGGACTTTTCAGAATTGCTTCCTTCGCCTGTTTCATTTTCTTCGGTTCCGGAATGCTTTCATCCTCTTCCCCTGTTGCTGAAAAAAAACACTATTTACAGTCATCGTAATATTTTCAATGGTGTTCATAAATTTTCTTTTCAGTTTTGTTATAGCGGTCACTTTTGCGGTTTCCTTTATATGGTTTACATCAACAAGAAAAACGGACTTCCTTCAAGTGCCTATACTCAAGACATTATGTTGTTATCAGGATACACATTTTTGAGTAACGGTGATTAAATTTTAATTCAAACTGCCAACAGGATGCAAGGCTGTGGTACTATATGAAGAGCTTGGGGGTTGTCACAATTGTTCACTATCCTGTTGAAAGTAGAGGAAGAGTTCATTATATGACTCTCTATCTTATTTTACCGGGAAACCCATGGGAAAACCGCCCAGTTAATTAAAAAGCTGCCTGTTTTCACTAATGTACGTGTTCGTTATGTAAAATATTTTTTCTTTCATCCATCACATGCTAACTAATACACCAGGATACAAGTTTGCTATACATACATGGTGACCACTACTGTCATTAAACATGTTTGTATAGTAATTTTATCGCTATCAGGATAAACGTTTGTTATGCACAGTAATTGGAACTTTTTAAATATTTTACCTTCAGACGCATTTCTTTTGGCACTTTTCGGAACTTCTTTTTCCTCTTCCTTTTTCTTTTTTGGTTTGGGAACGTCATCGTCCTCATTGCCAGTTGGCGCTAGTGAATAAAAACCGAAAACTCATTTAAGATCATTTTCAATAAGATTCATCAGTTTGGAAATATGTCATATCAAAGTTTTAAACGTGTTGCAAAGTTTCAAGACCGACTGCTCCCTTTGTGAAGTTATGACTGAGTGAGTGAAGAGATTGTATATATTTTATATGTAACCTGTTCGACAAAGTGTGTATATATTATCTATCGATAGGCGAAACGTCCCGTGTCCAGAGACATATGGAATATAGTACGTAGTTTTATAGTTGTACATATAAACAATGCAAATCGCTCACTCAGTTATAGCAGACGGTCTTGAAACGTCGCGACACGTTTGATATGTACATTGTTCGTGTATTAAGTAAAACTTTGAAATAATCTATAATCGTATTGGTATGTTCTAAAAACTAATAATGCAAATTTGACACTGTCATTTCATTTTCAATCAACAACAATGTTGAAGATATAATGATAATCCATCACCAAGAAATATAAACAGGAGGTCCATGGGCCTTAACGGTCACCTGAGTTATGTAAAAACTGATGTTATCGATGTTGCCAAATGAAAAAGAAAATAATTTTGTAACAAAAGGTAACTTGAACTACATGTAATGCAAAAGTAGTGTGAAAGATCTGGGTAGTTCAAATAGTGGTTCTGTCAGTCAGCAGAATTTTGGTAAAGCACCTTAAGACCATCGATCTATGAAGAGTATTTGATTCTTCCATATCTGGATCTTGAGAAGAAGTTTTTCAATTTTTAGTCAATTTAACACTTGTTTGCCCCGACCATCAGCCCCTGGGGGTCAGTCAGAGCTGATATGTGCATATCAGCAAACTGCTATCAAATACTGATAATGCTTACCAAGTTTGAATTAATTCCAATGGAAACTTAACACTTTTTGGCCCCTCCCATCAGCCCCTGGTGGCCAGTCAGGGCTGATATGTGCATATCATCAAACTGCTATCGATTATTGATAATGCTATCCATGTTTGAATTAATTCAATTGAAAATTAAACAAATGCTGATCCAAAACGTGATTTCCTTATATAAACCAAAGTTTAACCCCTCCATAGGGGGACACGTGAGACCCCAGGGTCATGAAATTCACAATTTTGGTAAAGCATCTTAAGACGCTTCCATCTATGAAGAGTATTATATTCTACCATATCTGGGTCTTGAGAAGAAGATTTTAGAAATTTCAGTCAATTCAACCCTTTTTTGTCCCACCATCAGCCCCTGGTGGCCAGTCAGGGCTGATATGTGCATATCATCAAACTGCTATCGAATATGGATAATGCTATCCAAGTTTGCATTAATTCCAATGAAAATTAAACAAATACTGGTCCAAAATGTGATTTCCTTATATAAACTATAGTAAAGTTTACCCCCTCCCCAGTAAGGGAGAAACGTGAGACCCCAGGGTCATGAAATTCACAATTTTGGTAAAGCACCTTAAGATGCTTCCATCTATGAAGAGTATTTGATTCTACCATGTCTGGATCTTGAGAAGAAGATTTTTGAAATTTTAGTCAATTTGACCCTTTTTGGCCCCGCCCCTCAGGCCCCTTTGGACATGTTTGGCTGATCTTTGGCCATGGCAGGTTTCTGCAGGGGTTTTGGAGAGGAGGTCGAAATAAATTGTTTACGGACGCACGACGCCGGCCAAAAGGCGAAAAGGAGCTCACTTGCAAGTTTTAATTATTCTTGAATATTAATTCCACACATAAATATTAACTATCAACATTGTAAAAGATAATCACTTCACCACGAAATAAAGTGTTCACGAATAAAATATCAAGGGACAATTAGGAAAAAAAACAGTAACAAGATTGAATCTATACAAACCAGTATGGATGATAGTCTGTCCTGTGCATACATTTTCAGCGTTTTTCACTTTCATATTTTCTACGCGAATCTCTTCATTATATTTTCTGTTGTCATGGTAATTGACCACCACTGAAAGATATGTCCAATATATATATATATTAAAAGAAAATAGGATACAATCTCAACTTGAAAAGCTCATTATCTTAAATATTCGACAATTAGCACAGCATGATATTTATTGTTATATATACATAAAGGTTATATGGAACAATTCAGTTCTGATATTAAATATCCAATGTTGAATCCACATTATCTACTGTTTTGCAAAAGTGTTTCATTACTTTACCTTGAGGTACAATGGTTGTTTTGGCAATTGCTCCGGAAGAAGGACCAGGTATTGCTACTGCGCCTTCGTACTCGTCTGTTTGACTACTTCCATTATTGGTGGGATTGTTGACAGGTAGAACAGATTCCATAAACTGG